CTAAAGCTTGAGCCCTGGGCTCTTGAACCTTAAGCCCTAGCCCTTGGCTGCTGAGCCCTCAGACTCGAATCACCCTGTCCCAAGTCCCTGGCACCTAAACCCTCAACCTTCAACCCTATCCCCTAAACCCAAAGCCCTTGAGAAGGTAAAGCCACCCGTTGGCTCTGGCTTGAACAAGCCCTCCACCATCAAACTGCCCGGCGGCCCAAAGAAAGCCCTCGGGTGCTTTTCGTTCGTAAAAGCACCCGGGTTCTCGAGGAAGGCTTGGGCTTAGAGGATACCCCGAACTCCGTTTCGATTATGTGAAAGAGGCTTTTGGGCTCCCAGGGTGGGGCTGATAGGCGGACGAAGCGCATCAGGGGCTGGAGGGGGCCTGTAGGACTTGCGACCTCAGAATGTTCGGGTTCCCGGCCTTGGATTCACGCGGCACCTTGAAGTGGCTCCGCTCACGGACGTCATCCTGAGACGTGTGGGTCTCGTTGAACTTTTCCTAAGCGGCTTGGGGTTTGGGGCCGCAGGGCTTAGGGCCTCGGGTTTTTCGAGCCGAACCGCAAGCCCTAGAGGTTCCTTCTGCAGGTATATGAGAAGGGCCAGCTGTTACATTGCTTGCGGAGGAACGGACTCGACGGTTCAAGGTACGGTTGTTTCCAGGCAGGTATTTGTGGCAGATTTTGTTACCTTAAATCCCTAAACCCTAAGTCCTTAAATTAATCCCTAAACCTACAGCCCTACACTGCTTTTCATTCCTCCTCAGACCTACTAGACTCGTTCGACAATCTCAAGCCTAGCATGTCCAAGTTATTTTGGATTCTAGGCCTTCATGGGTCCACGGTTTAGCCTTTAGGTTTTAGGGGTTCAGGGCACAGGGTTGTGTCTCAACTGTGATGGTGAAGAGGCAGCGATGCCATGAAAGGGCTTGGGAATAGCGGCTAGTCTGATCGTGTCGTGCATTTTGCTGCAGCAATGATGTGCAAGCCCCAAAAGGGATTTGCACATCAGGTATGGCTGCCTCCCCAAGACTCAAGTCTTTCGAGATGAGCTCCTTGGTGTGCATTCAGGGGTTCTCGCAGAGCTTGGATCGTTTCAGAAAGTGGGTGCCGCAAAGCACGCGGGCGTTTTGAGGGATCAGGTTGTATGGTGTTTCGACTTGAGTCTCAGGCCTTTTCGGATCTGGCACCCGCTATCTTGATTCTTCAAACCCTAAGCCTCAAGAGAAGCGACCCAACTCAAACGACATTCATTTGGGACAGGAGTTTTTGGCCATGCATGTCGCATTTCTTTCCAGCCATTGCATGCCTATGCGACCAAACCCACGGCGAAGCAAAGCCTTTCAATGTGGCCAAGATTTCCCTCTGCTTCTCGGACTTCCCGTCGCAGCTTAAGATGTAGGGTTTCAGGTTTGAAGGTTTAGGGCTTTCGAGCTTTAGTATCTTTAGTCTACGTCGCACTTCCTGCGCACCTTCAGGGCTTTCCCGAGGATTAAGATTGGCCAAAGGTTAAGCGACTGATACCACGGCTGTAATTATCGATTTCTTCCCGATCGGGAGTTCGGTTGGGCCATACTCGGCGGAGACATTCATCGTGAGCTGCATGTAGGCTTCAGGGTTTGTGGGCTCAGTGTTCGGGTTTACTTCAGGGGTTCAGGGTAGAGGGGTTTGCTTCTGTGTCTTGTAGCTTTGTGTACGGGTGCGTGCGAGTCTCAATTTGTTCAGAGCCTCAAGTGCTTGCTTGGGCTTCTTCTGCTCACTTCTATATTGCAATAGCGGCTTCCGAGTAAGTGGCGTTAGATAGAACTCCGCCAGACCTTGCTGAGGAAAGCCCGGGAGAAATACCGGACGCGAGTCAAGACAATGACGGAGGACCCATGGAGGTTTGTTCAGAATCCTCAACCCCAAACCCTCAATCCTAAATCCTCAGCCCTAAACCCTAAATCCTCAACGCCCTAAAGCCCTAAAATACTAAAACCCCAAAGCCCTAAAGCCCTAAAATACTAAAACCCCAAACCCTAAAACCCTAAAACCCCAAAACCCCAAAACCCCAAAACCTTACAACCCTAAAACCCTAAAACCCTAAAGGCTTGCAGCCCTGAACCCAGAGCCTTCCGGAACCGAAGAGAAGCTCAGACTCGGACCTCGGAGCCCAACACATGGCAGCCTGAACCCGAAAGCTTCTTCAGATCTTTGTAGGGATCTTAAACAGGGTTTAGGGT